ATTCATTTTGATATAGATTGCAAAAATTATTATGTGAAGTTATAGTTATTATCACAGTGAATTCAGTACTGGGGGGGATTGATAATAGATGAGGTGCAAATGATTACATTTTTACTGTAATCATAATGTGTTCTCTTCTGAAGGGCATAAATGTAATATTGGTATTAGAATTGTACTGCATGTATGATTCTGCACCACAGATGTGCTAATGAGATTGCCTTTAAGAAAATCTGTCTATATATTATATATATATATATAGAGAGAGATTTTTTGTTTTTATTTGTGCTTAGGTATTGTGATAAGGAAAACGAGTATGATTGATAAAACGTACCTGGAGAAAGTTTTTTGAGAACAGAATTAGGTATTTCCGTTTTTTGATAATTTTGCACACAGAAATAGATGGAAACCTATTTAGGCTTGTGAAAGCACTATAAATTTTGTATGATGTTTTGAGAAAAATTGGCTGTAGCCAATAGTTTGCAATGCAGACCATTGCTTGTAGAATCCCTTGTAAACATGTAGCAGCATAGGTAGAGACCTGAAGTAATATAATTAAATGAGTGTTATCGGCAGTGTTTGGGAAACTACTGCAATCATGAATCTATTAAATTTTTTATCTGTGTTGTTGATCTTGCATGATGTACTGATGTTGTATCTTTATGATATGCAGATTGTTGTATTATTTGCAATAAAGTAATATAAGTGGGAGGAAGAAAGTTACTGATTGTCCAATAGTAGATTCCAAATCCTTTGGACAGAAGAAGAAAATTTTTTGTTGCATGGAATAATTAATACCTGTAAATATAAACATGAGCCATTACATATGCTGCAATGTGCTGCAGTTTTATGACATTTGCCATCATTGACTCATTCTTCTTTGAAAAGACATGGGCAACAGTTAGCTGGAAAACATACTGAATAGCAGGACAGTGATAGTTAAATATTTTATGCATTTACAGATTACCTTAATTTTGAAAATGAAATATCGAAGAGAGTTTTATGCTTATTCAAGATAGTGTGTTTTTTCTTGTAGTAGCTTCCATGAAGCACTAGGTTTTAACTCTGAAAAGACGATTTAACTGCTCATGCATTACTATTTAATCTTTTTGTTGTCAGATTTGATGCTAGTGTAATTTTGGTTTTCAGATTTATACCTGGGGTTTTCAACCAGGGGGAGGCTGTCAGCCTTGTATTTATCTGTTAAATATTTAGTTTATGAATATAGAACATTACTTTAATTCATGTTTTGTTATACCTGGGGTTTTCAACCAGGGCTGTCAGCCTTGTATTTATCGGTTAAGTATTTAGTTTATGAATATAGATCATTACTTTATGTTTTGTTATATATATCAACATTTTCTGCACTCTTTGTTCTTTAATTTATGAAACACATTGAAAAATTTAAATCTAGATAGATGTATGTATATTTATTTTTCAAATTAAAGGGAAAGTAGGGGGAATGATCTTCTAGCAATGGTAAAAGTGGTGCATGGGCCAAAAAGTGTGTGGGTCCCTGACATGCAAAATCCTGAGCTTACACCACATCTGTTATGTGCAGGGCCAACCCTATGATTAATGGTGCCCCAGGCATGTTTAATATTGGGAACTTTTTGAGTATAATTATAAAAATTGGGGTGGGGGGGGGAAGAAAAATATGTAGAAATGAGTTTATTATTTTGATGGTTTTTTTTAACATATAATCAACATTGTCATTTTTCTCATCTGATATTTACAGAATATAAAAATGAATATATCTAAGAATTTTTTTTTCTTTTTTTTTTTTTTCTAGCCTTTAGATCAGCAGGTCTTTCCATGGCACTTCCTGTATTTATTTTTATTGCAGTATCATTTTCTATGGACAAAATTCTGAAGAATTCAGTCTGTCTTAAGACATGGAGGATTATGATTTATGTTTTTATAAGTTTTAGTATAATGAAGCTTCTGTTGCCAACTGCCACAATAATAGGTATTGTAAACATTATTCTCAAAGGAACCCAAAGATTTGGCATGGCATCTTGTAACTTTTTACTATTTATGAACCGAGAAGTTTCTGTTGGATGCTTTACATCTTCGATAAATAATTCTTTGGCTATATCTAGTTCAGTCAAGAGATCATATCTATTAATATTGCTATTTTCTTGATACCTTAACTTGCTCTCCAAACCTTGACATGCTAGCTATGAGTATTATTTGTCACTACTTATGAATCATTACTTGGGAGTTTATTTTTATTTGGCAGATCTTAAAAGTCATTTAAAAATTCTCGTGGGGTATTGAAACTGTTATTGTAATTGTTCAAATCACTCTGATAAAGATTTAATAGCTCTGTGCAGTACTACATTGAACACATGAGTTTTAAATCTTTTCCTGGGTCATCTGCATTTGAAACTTAGTCAATGCACTCGTATTCAAAATAGACTCCTTATTTTCTTATTCTTTTACTTCTAAAAATGGGCTCTATATGTAATACTTTAGTTAATTCTTTTGCCGACTCTAGGTTTTTCATATCCATTTGCATGATAATTAATTAAGCAGTGACACTATTCTTTAGTGAAATTGCAGTTGATATTTCCACAGTTTCACAGTTCATTAAGTTTTGCTGACAACATTTGCCTTACCTGAGACAACAATATCAGATATTTATCATCATTAGAAAAACTGTAATCTTCTATTTGTGTTACAAGAATCTTTGCTTCATGTTGCACTTTCTGAAAACTCATAAAGGGCCTCTCGAATTCTCACAACTTCATTTTCAATGGTTCGGACACATTTTATTCTGCACTCCCATATGGTTTCACAGAAAGGTTTTGTAATAAAATGTTTTCTCAGTATCATTGCCGAAGAGAAGCAGAAAAGGAAACTGGTACATAGTACAGTACCAAAAGAAGAAGTGGATTCAAGGCAACTTTTTGCACTGTTACCAGTCACTAAGTGTAGGTTTTGACATTTGCAAGGCATATAAAATGCCAGTGGATTTTTTTCATGTTTGAACTCGTATTTGAACCATTATCATAGCTCTGGCATATGCAATTCGGTAAATGTAGGTGGCTATCTCTCAGAAAATCAAGTATGCTTGCATATAATCTGTGGTTTCTATAACAGGTTTATTGTAAGTAAAATGTTTATTGCAATATCTTCTACATCTCAAAACCGAGTTGTAGGCAAAAGCTGTTCTGCATAGCTTATATCTGATTTACAGTTTAAAATAAGACTAAAATGTTTTGCTGATCTAGTTCAGTTAAGTAAATTTTCTTGAGCAGGATGTCTCAACAAATTTATTATTTCATTCTGAATTTTTACCACAGTAATGAAAATTAAGTTTCTTAAGATGCAGTCTAATGTCAATGTTCACTCATTGTTAAATCAGGTTTTCCAAGTAGCTCAACAAGAACCAAAAAATTTTCATTATGTGGTGTAGTCTGATGTTCTTCTGAAAACCAAATTACATTCAGATAAATATTGATTGACTATTCATTGAATGTTCTAAAACTTTACTCTAATGCTGTCGTTCTTTTTCATTTGTGTCTGAAGCTCCTTATCAAACATTTTATTAGTCTGTAAACGTAATGATATATCAAACCATTTCTTTAGGCATCTCAGATGAAGTACTGAATTTTCATCTAACTGTTAAGTATTCATGAGCATGCTTCAAGTGATTAATTCTAGATTTTCATAATATTTACTTATAAGGAAAACCACAAAATTCTGTAACAAAAGCAATAAATTTTATTGGTGCTGTCTGAATAAATAAGCCACCTTCTAAAAAAATTCTCAACATTATTTATTTTCCTGTACATCATTACAGAGAAACAATGTTTATTTGCATTTTATGTATGATGTGATCCATCCACTTTCAACTTTTGTTAATTTGTCTGGCCAGTATGCTGAATTATTGTATTGTAGTTGTCAATTATTTTGGTTGAGTTTCTGTCAAATTTACTTTCAAAATTCCCATTATTTTTCGCTATGGTTAAGACATTATTATCCATTATTAGGGGTTGAGAAAAGCCTGCTTCCAGACTGAATGGGGCACTTTAAATCGTTTACAGTGGCTTGTGATAAAATCCTGTGCTACAACATTATCGTCTGTTTCTTATCTGATTTTGTGTGCAAATTGCCAAAATCTGCATGAGTGTGCGTCTGTTGTCATAGACACTTGACTATATTAGCAGTCAGCCTAAAATGAAAGCCATAAATATGCTAGAAAAAATGTGCATCTACTGAAGAAAGCAAATCTGTCATTTCTTGTAGCTTTACTTTAGTAATTAAACACTGAAATATGAATGTTGTTGAGATAAAAAGAGACTTGGGGGAAAGACCATTTCACTCCTAAGTCAAAAAGTTAGTTTTATTTAGATTGACATATTTATCTGAAAGTTATTTCTGTTAGTGAGTAACACGAAAAATAAATTTCAATCACAAATTACTAATGAAAATGTACATTTGGTGTTGAAGATTACTACATTCAGTTATGCGCGAGTTAGGACCTAATTTGGATAAAATAATCACAAGTGAATATTTGAAATTGAATACAAATAAAATGTTTGCAAAGCTATCAATGTATTACCTGCATGCAGAGCTGTCATGACCCCGTTTTCACTGACTAGGACTTATATTTATTTAAAATAAAAATAATGAAACAAAGTGTATAACATGCCATTTTAAATTAAAAATTTTTATTAAATTTCTACGTTGGAGGAGTGTTTCCCCTTCCACCACATTCTGACAAACAATAGGGGCACTACAAAAATAGTTGTATAAGTACTGTTGTACCTGCCCACATAATGCAGTGTAAAAAATGTTTTTATCCCCAGTTAAAAATATTTGCTTATCTCTGCTTAGAGTAAGCCTGACTGAAGTTCGGTATACTGGTTAGTACACAAGTATTGAATTTTACTGTTCTTGTTTTGAATAGAAGGAAAATGCTTATCTTTGTATGCAAATTGATGTGTTAAATGTCTTCTTACTGAAATTTGAAATTGTTCTTTCTTTATTTTCAGTTCTTCTCATAGCAGGAAAGAGATATATTTGGAAAGTACTGAAAATAATGAGAATAAACATCATCGGGAAATGAAATCATTTATAAACATTGAAGATGGCAGTAACTTAACTGAAATTTCACCAGTATTAACATGTATTAGAACTCTCAATGGTTAGTTTATTATACTTAAAATGTTTTTGCAAGATATTTTATATAAGTGATGTTTCTCTAGACTTATATTTTAGGGAGTATAAATCTAATAGAAGTTAAGATTTCTACTAGTAAAATATTTGGTACATTTTCTCTTATCAGGACCAGATTTAGATATCGGCAAATGTTTAGTGATAATGCCAAATGTAACACTTATATGGACATGTTAGTTCTTTCTTATTATATTTTTATTTGAATTGTAAGTGATAATGCCAAATGTAACACTTATATGGACATGTTAGTTCTTTCTTATTATATTTTTATTTGAATTGTAATAATCTTTTATTTTTGTATAAACGATCTCACTGATTTCTGTTAATTGGATGAGTCTGGTCCTAATAACAAAAAAGTACCAAATATTTTGTAAATAATTAAAATGGAAGTGAGTGCTACAAATAGGATGAAGTAATGGTAGGCAATTAGCTAGGAAAATTGTGTAAAAATAATTATTGAAATTTTTTGTTTCCTTAAAATAGTATTAAAAGAGCATGATTTTTAAATTCTTTGTATTAAATGATTTTTTGCATCAATACTTTCCCATTTTTTAGTTAGAATTTCGCCTAATTCATGAAGTCTTAAATTATTATTTAGCGAAATTAACATAAAAAGCTGTCCTAAGAGTTTTCAGTTTTGTCATTCTTCATCCCTAGTAAATATTGCATGGTTTTCTGAAGAAGCTGTATGAGGTTTTCGAGAATTTTAAGTTTTAAACAGGACTGTCTCTTTTAATTACTTTAACTGAGACTAATCACTTTAATATGTATTTTTTACTTTTTCTTATTTGCTTTTTTACATAAGTTCTTTTCATGTGTTCACAGGCCTTTTTCAATTTTTTATATCATATTCTTAAGGCAATTTTTTATAACTTTTTATAAGAATATAAAATATGTTTCACAATTCCTATTTTTGTGTTGGAGAGCTAAGGCAAGTAGGGAAAAGAAGACAGCTCAATGAAACTCTTAATTCTACTAATTTGTTGACCAACTGATTAAGTACTATGCTTCCGAGTCTCGATGAATTAGTCGGAACTAAACTTGCTTTAGCTATGTAATTAATCGACCAGGTATGGAGTTTCATAACACTTTTCCATTGTCAAGTTCTGTTATGAAGCTCCAAACAAGGAAGATTAATACTTGCAATTTTACTTTCTTAATTTTTAAGTGCTGCAATTTAAGATCAATATAAGTCTTAGTATCTTAGGTTTTTACTTATACTATTTTCATGTATTACAAAACTTGGTGGAATTCATGTCTTCTTTTTGATGAGTTGGATACACATCTAACTTTTATACTTTTCTCCCAAAATAATATAATCTTTTTTACTGCATATTATTGAGATTTAAATTTGATTAAAAAAATAAACCACAACAAAGTCATTCATGTAGTTTGGTAATCAAGATCTACATACTACCAGAAGGCAATTTTATAGTTATTTGTTTTATTTATGGAAAAACTGTTTGATTGTTTTATAATATATTAAAAAAAGGGTTTTCTTATTGAAAGTGTTATCGATGTATGACAATTATATTTTCCAGAATCTGAAGCTTTTTGGGATGGTGCAAAATCATGCAATTTTAAAAGTGTATCTTTAAAACAACTGAAATCTGAAACAGATGTCCCGAAGGAGGTAAGTGCATTAATATTTTATCCTTTTATCACAAAATATCACATTTCTAATTATGTTTGTAATGTATGGAATTTTAAAGTAATTTTGCATTCCATTAAAAACATGCATTTTTCTTTTACTGAAATTGCACTCAGCATTTCCATGTGTTATGAAAAAGAAGTAATATTTATATTAACATCACAGATAAAATTCAATACATGAGCATATTTGTTTCAAAATTTAATAATGGAGGCAAATTCTAACAAAGAAGTATTATTTCTGAGTTGTATAGGTAAGTGCTTTTTAGGAATAATGAATAAATAACATTGAACACCCAAGGAAAAGTTCATTTTTCTTATGTAAGACTTCTATACAATTGAATGGTTAAGAAATAATGTTTACAAAGTAAATATTGCAGGATTGAATGTGAATTAATTTCAAATATAAACAGAAGTATGCTTTGCTTATTGCTAAATTAAAGAAAAATTAAAAGAAATTCAGCACATAAGACTTTTAAAAGAAGGAAAGTATTAATAGAATATTTATTTATATCAGGATAACTAATAATTCTAGTTATTATATATGCCTTTAAAAATATTATGCTTTTAAAAATGAGATAAGTTTTAATAATTTAAAAGAGAAGTAAATACAAAAATCGTAAATAATTTGTGGTAAGTTAGTTTGATTTCAGTTGGGGATAAAGTGAAATTGCTGTTTTAAAAACATATATATTGTTATTAAAATCAGTTGTTTTTTTAAACACGTAAAATGCTAGGAATGTATGCAGAAAATTTTTTCATGAAGCATAAATAAAACCAGCCATAGCTACTTTTGAAAGTATTTTACATTGCTGAGATCAGTATTTATTTTAGTTAAATGTTAGGAAGAGACAAAGTGATATTTTTTACCTTAAAACCCGTGCAGATTTCAGACTATGCATTATCTCAGTATTGGCAATAATGCAAAATAGCAAAGGATTCATATTTTAATGATAACTTCTAAACTTTCCTTCAGGGTTTTGTAACTTGTTTAGACTAGAAGATGTTTGTGCTGCATGCTATATAAGTAATGTTTTAATTTCTTTCAGGATGGGTTTTATTTTGCGGTTTCTTTGCGGGATGGATCATGTCTTTGTACATCCAGTGCTATTACAGATCATCTTGGATATCCAAAGGTAAATATATTTATAAATAATAAATCTTTGTAGGAAATTATTTCTTTTTAATGTGAAAACTTGTTTTATCATGCTTTATATAATTTAATTTGTGCACTTTTCATTATGTCTTTTTAGGATATGTTTGTTGGCCAGTGTATAATGAATTTCTTGTATCATAAAGACCATATTACTTTTGCAAATCACCTTACTCAGGGGCTCAATGCTTGTTTTATTCAAGGAAAGAGATGTAAGTGTTAATAATGAAATTAAAATTCTGTCTTCATTTATTATGTGTGTTATTATTTTACACTTACAATTTTGACATTAGGATTCAGACTTTTGATTTTTTTACACTTACAATTTTGAGGTTAGGATTCAGACTTTTGATTTTTAGTCAGATAACTTAATAGTATATTTTTGTGTGTTTTATTGAAGATGGCATTAAAATCATTTAACTAAAAATCTAAAAGTTAAATAAAAAAAATGTGTGAGAAGTGGGAAATTTGTGAATTTGCTTTGTACTCGTGTAAAAATTTAATCTTTGTTAAATCTAAAAATTAAAAAAATACACTAAAATTCTTTAAAATAATCGTAGAAATTCATTCTGTTTTAAAACACACACATGCAACAAAAAATAAATAAATGAAAAGAAAAAAACTCTCTTACTGTATTTATATACGATTTACAGTTTTTGATCAGGATAACTGCTTGTGTTACAGGATAACAGATAATTTATGAGTTTGAGTCCAGTTCGATACATTCAGTTTATTTATTTTTGTTCTGTTAATATTTAAAATGAATGAATGAAATAAAATATTTTAATGAAATCTGAGTAGTTCCTTAATAATTTTATCTGAGTTAATGATTAATTTTCAAAAACAGTTTTGTAGAAAATTCACTTTTTAATATTTAATTAAAAGTTAGCATACCATTTGTCTTTAAGAATTACATACTCCTTTTTTGGTACTGTCGCATTATCTGGCCAACTGTCTGTCAAAGTTGCCAATCATTGACAATTAATTTTTCACAAATGAAAAAGAGTATCCATTTTAAAAAATGGTGCCACACTGAAAATTATATAATGAACCAGTAAAATTACATAAAGCATACATTAGTAATGAAACAATGAAAATTTCTAAAAAAACTTTTTCTCTTTCTTTCTTCTGTCTGTGTGCGCAGCAATTTGTTTTAACTTAAAATCAGAATTTTACTTATATGGAGAAAATTATTATCACAGTCATCCGAGAACTGTTCATAAAATATTTTTCAGCTGCAAGATTTCTGTAATAATGTAACATAGGAGATAAGTAAGAGCTAAAGACATCATTTCATATGTATTTTATCGCTTTAACAATAATAATGAAAATCAATCCAGAGCGTACTTACATATTTACAGCCAGTGGATACTGTTCAGCAATCTGCTTTAAAATCAGTTCAAAATGGCGTTTTCATTTTCCTAGACATTTTCTCCAAATGAATTAATTCCCGAAGATAACATGGACATTTCGATCATTTTTAAAATACATTTTCATTGGATGTGCATTTTCACACTCTGCTAGGCAAAATGCCATATTTCTGAAAAAATTCAACAAATTTTTTTTTTTTTTTAGCAGACACAGTTGCTTTATGATTTATTAAAAAAATAGGGGGGACACTAATTGCAAGCAGAAACTGCAAACATATCTCAGAATTCGAGAATGGGATGCATATAGTAGATTGCCAGATAAAGTTTATTGTCATAAAATTTCTGCATTGTCTGCCTATGGGATCGTTGTCCGGTGATTCTTGTCATGGTTGGGTAAATATAGTGATAGTACCTCCTTTTTTTAGTGATGGTATTTGATAAGCTAATTCAAGTAACTGGTGCATTAAGCAAATAATTTTATTTTAAAACATGGGATTTGTCTCCAATTTTTCACTTAAGTCATTGGTTATTATTATACATTGTACTTTTCAGTTTGTTAGTATTATCTTTTTTCTCTCTATTTACTGAATTAGCGTGATGTCATTGTTTTACCAGGTCTTCTACTAACATTTGATAGTTGGTAGATAGAAAATGATTATTATAACTCAAATTGATTACAACAGTAATTTTATAAAAAACGTAGTCTTGAGCAGTCTAATATAATGTGCATATTTTTATTTTTGTAGATGACTCTCATTTGGTGCTCAACACATTTTTTTGCCGTTTGAGGTGAGCAAGATTTTTTTTTTAATCTTCTCAACAATATGAACAATGAATGAATTTATGTAGGTAATCATAATAAAATGCAGTTAACAGTTATCCTAACTGCATCCTGTGGTTTACTAGTTTTTATAAGTTTTATTGGGGTTTTCTGTTTAAACATCCAAATGTTTAAGTCAAACAACAAAAATCAGCATTATATTTTCAAATTTTCACAGGACTAGTTTTGATGGTTTTACCAAACCACATCCTCAGCTGCAAAAATGCAAATGAACAAGATAGGATATAATGATTAGATAAAATAAGAAAGCCTAGACAGAAAATAAGCTAGTGGTGCCATCTGCTGATGGGAGAATAAATGCCATCTGTCGTTTATTCTCCCATCAATAAAATTCTGAGTTTCATACTCAAGGACCCCATTCCGGATATGAATTCCTGGGGTAATTTATAGGATTTCTTGCCAGTGTGGTTTAATTTACATTGGCCAAACTAAGACAGCCCGAAAATTTCACATCAAGGAACGTGAGGCATATGTTAGAAAAAAGGAAACACAGAAGTCTTCTGTTGCCGAACATTGTTGGTCTGAAAATCACGCTTTCAATTTTTCTGCTGCCAAAATTATTCAAAAAACATCCTGGATTTTCTAGAGGCATTTCACATTAAAAAAAAAAAAAAAATCTTTCTGTTCTAGTTAACGATCCTAATTCCAATCCATCTTTGCCTTCGGCCTTTAAAGAAATTATGTTGTAGTTTTGGTTTCATGAACAGATGGCACCACTAGCTTATTTTCTGTCAAGGCTTTCTTATCTTATCTGATCATTGTATCCTATCTCATTCATTTGCGCTTTTGCAGCTGAGGATGGTGGTTCGGTAAAACCATCGAAACTAGTCCTGTGAAAATTTGAAAATATAATGCTGATTTTTGTTGTTTGACTTTTGAATTAGCATTTGTTCGCCGTATTATTGTGTCTTAATTATCCAAATGTTTCTTAAACTTTGGACATTTGAATGATGAGAAAACTGCTCATTCTTTATCTTGTAGGTAAATAAGCAGTGACTGACTGTTGAAATTTTCAAACTGATTTATAAAATCCTCTTTCCTCAGTCAAAGAATTCCTGTATGATTGACATTATAATATTTCCTCCTCCTTGAGTAAGGCATTGCAACATTTCCTCCTCCCTGAATATATAAGGCATATCAGTATTTCCTCTTCCCTGAATATATAAGGCATTGCAATATTTCCTTATTCCAGTATATGGCTTTGCAGTATTTCCTCCTCCCGGAATGTTCTTTTTTTAGGAAAAATTATTTCTCTTCTTTTTTTGGGGGGGGGGTTGTATATATTTTAAAATGTATTGTGACATTTCAATTAGAAAACTTTTTTTCCAGGGTATACCAAAGTTTGAAATTTGGATATGCTGTATCTGAGAAAAAAGTGCAATATAAGCCTTTCAAAATTACTTTGCATATAAATGAATTAATAGTGGATGATATGTGTGTTGAAAAGCAATCAGGCATTCTGTGTGTGAAAGCAACAGCAACAAATGTTTCATCTGCTTATACAGGTAAATTTTTTGTGCTTGGTCACTTTTTAATATTTTTGCATATCCTTATTCCATATTTTTATATAGCTTTATTCAGCTGAATTATAAAAAGTTACAAAAGAAATACATTATCTAGTTTTTAATTTTAAAACAAAGAATGCTTTTTTCTGTTTTATTTAAAAAAATTCAGAAGCCCTTTACTTGCACATAAGATAATACAGAATGATTTTATTTTTCAATTTACTCATACAGTGAGACAAATAGTACATAAAATGAAAGGAAGGCTATTAATTACTTTGAGTTTTCGTACAACTCCTTTTAGTTAAGTGATTAATGAAAAAAACTTTTATATTCATGCCATACTTGCTCCAGCATATCTTTTATTATTGTTTTTGCAGTAACAGCAGTGTAAGTTTTCTGATAGCTTAAGCCTATTAATCATTGTAGCTAAGAGCAACAGATTATAAATGTCTTGACAAAGTAACACGATTTAAAATTTGATATCTAGAGGGCTAACTGTGAAAGCCAAATCCTTGAGTCTACTGTGAACACATCATTAAGAAAACATGATCAATAACATTTTGAAAGTTATTCTAAAATTTGGAGATTTTTAATTTGGAAAATATTAAATTAACATGCAATAGAATGTTAATTTAATAATTTCTAATTTGGAATTACTTTGTGTTATTTTTATAATTGTACGTTATATTTTCTTTTTATAAAACATGGATTTATGAAATTTTGCCTGAAATATATGTTAATTATTTATAAATGAGTTCAAAAGAGACATGCAAAATTATTCATGTTTTTTAGCAAGTGATTTGTGTTGCATATATGAATTTTTAATTTATGCATTACAAATCTACCCACTGATATCTGGTAATATTAGTTCTGTTTCCAATTAGCCTACAATTAGCTAAGTGAACTGCTGAATCGTATTGGCTTCATCTAGATTCAGATTCCAGTGAGTAGGCTTGTTTATGTGGGAGTTTTAATGGTTTTTGGCATGTGTGACAAGAATACGAGCTAGTTTCCCTTAGATCTTTCATGAAGGCATCCCTCCCTTCAAGCACACAGCACTTGGATGCTTTTACCGTAATCCAAATCCAATTTATATCCTATTACTGAAGTTTAAATGCTTTGTGAAGATCTGTCAAAAAATAACAAAAGGTAATTACAGGCACAGATGATAAAGATGCTAAAACAGATTTATTTAATTTGCATTATGTTAAAATATGAATGGTACTTTTGGCTTATTTTCATTTCTTGCATATTATTAACTAACTAAGTGTGCAAAAAGGGAAAAGACACTTGAAAATGCACTTTGCTGTTTAAGTTTTATCATCCGTATGTACATTAATTAGAAAGGCATTTGAACTATATTCGTATATGGAAGGTATATGCATATTTTGAATGATTTTAATATAGCAGAACAATTAATTGTATTATTATTATATTTTAATTCTGAATATAGTCGTCCTTTTTTCTTAACTCCTAGTCTGTATCTTAATTCTGTGACAAAAGAGCATTTGTTAACTTTAATATAAGAATTTTTTCCTACTCTCTTGTATTGCTTTCCACAGTTTGTATATGCTAACCAAAGATAATAGCCAAATTGACCTTTTTTAACAATTGGAGAAGGTACATTAGATCTGCATCAGTGGGTTTACCTGGAATGTATGAGAAAGGTTGCACTTTATACCAGTCTTCTTTTCTTTCTCATTTTTCTAGAATAGCAGGGGAAAATGCTGTGTGACTTGTAACTTTGCATTGGTGTTTGCTACCTTTACTTCCTTTGTAAAGAATTATATATATATATATATATATTATATATATATATTTTTTTTTTAAAGTTTGGTGGGTCAAAATGTTTGTTTTAATAATATTTTACATTTATTTTTTTTATATATTTTTTAAATCTTACTTTTAAAGAATATTTTTGGTTTTAAATTTAATTTTTTTTTTCTCTGTGATAAAATAAGCTATAAACTTTTCATTGAAACTTTCTGTAAACTTTTGAAGTCAAGTTTTTTGCCCTCTTTCATAACACAAATTGATTGCCTTATGTTAGTCATCCAAACATAGCCTTATTTCATTTACAGTTATAACAAATTTCCAGTTTCTACTGTTAAAGAAAACTGCTCCTATGTTCTGTCACATGTCTCAAGTGATGATTATGAATGTAGCTTTTTGTCTTTTTAAAATTAATAAACCTATTATTTTATTCATGGTGGGGCCATTTTAGAATTTGATCATAATGCCCATTTAGTTTAATGGGTCTTGCTTTAGAACTATATATTTAATTTTTGAAATGGTCTTCATAGCATGTACCTTTGGACACATATGGCATTTTTTTCATAGTAGAGAGCTGTAGTTGTCATTATTCCCCCCTTGCTGTAATTTATGATACTCTTAAATATCTTGATTCCAAGATTATTACTTCATTTTTGTGTCGAAAAACAGTACCTGAAAAGTTATTTTCCTATGGAAAGCAAAATCCTTCTTTCTTACTAAAGTGTGAAAGCTGTTGCTGAGTAATTTTGTGATGCTTCATTAATTTCAGTTGTTTGTTAATTCACAGTTAAAAAAAAACAAAAAAACTTACAAATAACCTCTGTATTAAAGTTAATATATAGTGTGTTAGCATAAACTGTACTTATTCTAAAATACAAGTTCTGATTACATATGAAGCTGTATAAATTTATCTTACAGTACCTGAAGAAATACCAGCTATGACTTCATTTTCAACACGACACACTGCTTCCTGCCATTTCAGTCATGTTGACGCAAGGTATTGTCATCCATTATTCTGCGGTATTTAACACATTTCTTGTAATTACTGTAATTTATTGTAATTGTGTATGAATGAAGCTGAAAGGGTCATCAGTGACCGAGTGTATAATTTGATCGTAGTAGTTAGACTGGCTACATGAATGTTATATTCCCATTTATGATGTGAAAAGCCATCAGTTTTCCATAGAAGTCCTCTATAAAGGTATATTTTCCCATTAAACAGATATGTCATGTGCCTTGACAAAATTAATAAAAAAATTTAAATATATGAAAATATCATGGGCAAAAAATGTTAAAAAATCAAAATATTTCAAACACAACAATGAAAAAATTTTAAAATGCCATTGGCATAAGATGCAAGATCCTAGGGAAAATAACATTACAGGTGTAATCTTAGTAATTTAAATGGTTCAAGAGAAAATTTAAATTATAATTATTAGTAATTAGGTTACTTTATGATTATCAGCATCACCAGTTTTAGCTTGTAGTAGAATTACTGTGTTTTTTAAATATCTTTGAGTACATACGGATATGCATGTTTTGTATTTAACTGACATTTCAGTGAATTGCTACAAGAATGTAAATATCAGCCTTACAAATTTTTGTTTTCCTCATAAATTTCATGTTTGTTAAAAAAATATTGTTATTTTATGAATATAACGATACTTTGGAACCAAAATGAACCAAGCCTTTTCCCGTCAATTTGTAAAATCAGCAATGAGTTGGCAATTTTTAGTGGAGGTGAACTTTTACTACTTTTGAAGAACATTTGGGAACACATTCTAAAAAGGGACAAATTGATGTTATGAATTTTAGAAGGAATGGGTTATATGGGAAAGGTATTTTATTTTCTTGCATTTCCATTTTTATGTACATCAGAATTCTAATAATTTGTTGACAGCTATAATCTGTGCTCATTTGTAGATGGCAACAAACTGAATTTTGATTTTCAGAAAATTCAGGAAGGTAAATTTTTCAGCAATTTTCCCTTATTTGTGTAGGCCAATGAATTTTTTAATAAAAATAAACTATATTTATGGAAAGTTTAATTTAAAAAGTGAACTAATTTGGTGGTTGGAGTTAATTAGCATTTTCTACAAGCACATCAGTACACTTTTTTAATAGATATGGGTTTTGAATCTTTAAATAAATCCCAACTTTCGGGTGTATATTCTGCTTTCAATTAAAATTTAAAATATATACCGTATTTGACGGCCTACAAGACGCACTTTTTTTTCCTAAATTTAGTCTCAAAAAAGTTACCTGCGTCTTATACGTGAAGGACACAGGTTAACTTTCAATACTGAATGCTATTTTTAGCCCGGATAAAGGTCTAGACACACATAACGTTTTCTACACCTGCCATAATTATTTTGCGCATGCTCGAAATATCTGTCGCCAAAAAGTGCCAAAGCACGAAGCTGATATCGAAGTTCGAACAGGTTTGACGATCACATTACATCTATGGAGAATTTCTTTCTTTACATAGACTTTCTTTGACTCAGCTAACACACGTGTCGGTATCGGTTCTACTCTGTATAAACATGTCAGTATCGGTGCTTAAAACTATTTGTTAAAAAAAAAAATACTCTCGAAAATATGACTACAGGAAGCAAGAGATCAAGTTATACAATTAAACTAGGAGTGTTAACTATGCCAAAGTGCACGGAAACAGAGCAGCAGCAAGGCATTTTGGTTCACCATCTACCGAAAAAATGATACGTACTTGGCGTCTGCAGGAAGATCAACTGAAGACTGCTAAAAAACAAAAACATAACCTTCGATGCCCGCTCCATCTTGGCGTGAACTTGAAATACCGTAAAATGTGGTGGTAGATAAGAGGAAATATGGGATAAGTGTTTCAACCAAAATGATAATCAATGAGGCAAAAGGATTTGCAGAAAAACAGGGAAGCAGAACTTTTCAGGGTCTGAGGGCTGTGCTACAGGTTCATGAAAAGGCAAGGCTTATCAATGCGCACAAAAACAACTATTGCACGAAAATGCCAGGAGATTAGAAAAAATACTAGCATTTCATAGGTTTGTTATAAATGCATGCAATAAAACTTCTTTTGAGCTCACTCAAATAAGAAATATGGATAAAATTCCACTCACATTTGATGTACCATCCAACAAGACTGTGGAGTATTAAAGGGTCTAAATCAATACCCATAAAACCACAGGTCATGAAAAAAACCCGATATATGGTAGTTCTAACATGTTGTGCTGATGGCACAAAACTACCACCGTTTTTCATATTCAAAAGAAAAACTCATCCGAAAGAAAAAACTTCGGATGTAATTGTTCATGTTCATCCGAAAGGCTGGATGGACGAAACTGGAATGAAACTGTGGATTACAGAACGTATGGGCGAGGCGACCTGGTGGACTCTTAAGAAAACCCTCTCTTTTGATTTTGAATCAATTTAGCGCCCATAGAACTGAAACCATAAAGAATAAAGCGAGAGAATTAAAAACCCAGATAGCTGTTATTCCTGGTGGACTGACTAGCTAATTGCAGCCTTTAGATGTATCGGTGAATCATTTAAGGAAAAAGTGCGAGAACGATGAACAAGTGGATAGGAGAGCCACATCACGCCATCACACCCTCAGGTAGAATGAAGCGGCCCTCTATTTCCCAAGTGTGCGAGTGGGTAAGAAAAATCTTGGGAGGATGTACAGGCTGAAGTAATTGTTAAGCCCTTTTAAGAAGTGCGGAACGAGTAATGCTCTTGACGGAATAGAAGATGACGCATTATTCGAAGAAGGTGATACTAGCGATGACGGAAATAGTAGTGATGACGATATTCTCGTTTTCGATAAAGATGATAGTGAAAAGGATTTTTATGGTTTTGAAAGTGATTAAAGTCTATTTCATATAGGCAATTTCTTTGAATCTGTGTTTTTGTTGTTTTGCTTTTTTTGTATTATGTTTGATTGCTTGTCGTTTATTCATTTATTCATTATGAAATTTACGTATCATGTTCAAAATAGCTTGCCGTTTGTTAATTTTCCTTAAAAAATATTTTGGTATTACATTCAGTGATTGTTTATTTGGCTTTTACGAAACGTGAGAACTAAAAGAAACCACATTTTAAGTTATTGTGGTACCGCGATGTTGCGCGAACTATTGAAACTTTTTTCCTTGTTTGTGGCCTTCTAAATAAGGGTGCGTCTTATATGCCGTCAAATATGGTATATATATATAGATGTACAAAGAATTTATTTGTTCATAGCTTTTCAAATGCTAAGCTTGAACTGAAAGGGACTTCATAGCTATTTTGTGTACATTTGATGCTATGAGCAAGTTTGTGTACATCAGTTTCGAATAGGAATAGATTCTAAAAAATAACATTGATAAAGAATTGCTGTTAAAATGAGGAAACTTGGTAAAGAAAATGGGCCTGAAAAGCAGAGAAATTTTCTTTCATTTAATTCAAAATTTCTATTTTAATATTTTTTGTTAATTCCTAGTAATAGCATTAATCCATTGTATATACACAGAATGTAACAAAATAGCATAGGCTTTCAATATAGGGAATGCCCTGCTGTTAGATTTTCATGAACAGCACATTTATTTTCTAATTTATGAGCATAAAACTTGTTTTGAAAGTAATTTTTTAATGTAAAATTAATGTAATGTCAGTGCATTTTTACAAGTGTTCTTTTTTGCCTAAAAAAACCATTTTTTCTTGTCACTCCGTTTTTCTGTTTTTTTTTTTTTTTATATTACTGTATTTGCAATATATATATATATATTATATAAAATGCGATCATATACAGTCAAAAGCCTTTAATCCCGACTCGTCGGGACTTCGGCGATTCCGGATTATCGGTTTTTCCGGATTATTATAGATCATCAGTTTAAATCTGGTAAGATGGCATGCAGAAAATTAAAATTAAAATATGAAACCGTAATTTATGAAATAAAGAGCAATTATGATCTAAAGGGTATCAAAATTTACAAAAAAAAAGCATAATATTTGTTTACTTTATTAAACATTTCTTTTAACGCGCACATGCGTAAAGCATACATTATGCATAGTCGAAATTAGAAAATTGCAACCAGAAAACAATTTGATGTGTATTCGTGATATTTGTAATGACGAGGAATTTGATTTAAATCATATCAAAGACGGAGTCGAGATGAAATACTACATTTAGTAAGAAATTATAATCCAAATAAAATAAAAACATCTGCCCTGAAGATAAGGATAGTGCTGACAGATCAACTTCCAGTTCACTGCAAGCCGCGATGGCCCCCCTCCCCCCCTCGCCGCCGCAGAACAGCGTGAAATTGATAAACAGATTTCGGAATGGTTAGAGAAACAAAGGATATGCCTTTATCCATTTTTTGCAGCAATTCCACTTTTTGTTTGATGGACATCGAAACACGCTATCGCTTTGTAGATCCTTCGGCAGCTCCAGAATCGGAAATCCTTTTTGACATAATCGAAAGTTCAAGTTTACTTTTATAAAATTGCTCAACAGTCTGCAAAAAATAATAAGCCGGATCCAAGTAGAAGATTAAGGAACAACGCAATCTGCAACATTAACTGAAATAGATAATTAGATAATTTTAGCTTAGCTTATGCCGTCCATTATACATTAAACGCGCATGCGTAAACGTATTATGCCCATGCGTGAACGCATGATGTGTTGACGCATGCGCAGAAAGTTTGTAGCTTTGAGGTCCGGATTATAGATCATTCCGGATTATGGACGTCCTGATTAAATACTTTTGACTGTAGTTGTTAAGGTATTTTGAGTTATGTACAAATAATCCAAGTTCAATATAAAATTATAAAGAGAACTCGGAAAAATGTGATTTATAATTGAAAAAAATTATGTAATTTGCATACTGTTGGTTTCGCAGTAACAGCAATTTTAATTTTTTGGCAATTTGCTTTTTTTTTTTATTGTTTCTGTATTTCCACAATACTTGTATATGGAATCAATAAACTCTATAACTCTAGTATTCTGTCAGCTTTGCTATCTTTTTAAACGTCTAAATTCATATTCACATAATGAATACTGATAATGTGTTTTGAAACTTCAAAATCCTCTAGCTAAGTTTCAATGAGTACATATTCAAATACAGACTCTTGTTATGTTTTGTGAGAATTACATCGTGAAGTTTAGGTCCTTTTTCACTAACACTAGCAAGGACTTCAAAGCATGAGCTATACTAGTAAATTATTAAAGATATTGCTTATAGTTTGAATTAATCTGAGATGTGATAAACAAAGAAACTAGAGTGAAAAGTCACCATCAGCAACTATGGATTGCAGTTTTTGGATAGTCCTTAATCTCCAGACGCTGTCAAAAGGGGCCTCAAAGTCTACAAAAAGACGGAATGTCAGCATTCCTGGGCATCATGAATGGATTGTCCCAGGAAGCGACCTGTTGGCTAGTTGATTGGAATCTTCTGTAATCCGCCTGGGTTGTAGACAAAAGATTATTTATTTCAATATACCAATTAAGACTAGAAACTATCTAATCATCTGCAGGTTTATTCTTTTTATGAATTGGAGTGGTGATAGTCTTTTTTTTTTTTTTTTTTCCAAAATAGCAAGTATTCCAAAATTTCAGCTATAGTTGTATAATTTTAAAAGCACATGAAATGAATTTTTGCGTACATATTTTAGAAATCTGAATCGTTGAAAATAAATACAGCTAAAAAGAATCTAAACAGTGCAAAATGGAATGATGCTCAGATTTGTCATTGCTTCTGATCCTATGCTGATTTTGAAACCATTGGGAAACATTTTCCATGCTTAAATTTACATATTTTCCAAATTTTTTTAATAAAAATTCTCTTGTTTGGATACGTGCATAAAATATTTAATTCAAGATGTGCAAATTTTAATTTTTTTCCCAAAAAGTTTATAACAATTATTTAATAAATTTTTATTTGTAATAAATCAGAAAAGTGCTTGAATTTTATAAATGAAAGTAAAATATTATAAAGTGCTTGCATAAACCTAAATTTCAGCTTACTATAAAAGAAACCAAGGAAGTTTTAAAAAATGTGTTATTAAACATATATCAAATTTGATTGTTTATCATTAAGCTGAAATTATGAGTACTAATATTGGAAAAACTGCAAATTTTTTTACTCTTCGTATCTAAAAAAAATTAATACAAGTCAACCCATTTTTCAGTTATATGTACTATTTGTGTGTTATGATTTCTGACATGTGTTTAATATAATTAGTTTTATTATTGTGTTTTCTGTAGTATAGAAGTTACACATGTAAATATGTCTTATTCTTTTTTCCCTTTCTAGTGCTATTCCTTATCTTGGTTATTTGCCCCAAGATATGATTGGATATTCTGTTTTTGACTTTTATCATACTGATGATATGCCACAACTCAAAGACATATATGAATTAGGTAATTATAATTCTTGTCAATTTTAATAATTATAATTTTTTATGAAAACAAAAATTTTGAATGCTTTTTTTTTTTAAATTGCTGCAGAATGTAGTATTCATGGTGCTCATTTCTGCAAAAATTAGAATTCCATATCAAATTACTTTTTTTTTTCCTTAGCTAAAAAATCTTCATAGATAATTAACTACCTTAAGAAAATCATGATATATGTGCAGTACAATGTCTGAAATGTGGACCTCTAATATCTGAACAAACAACAATTTTTCTTTAAAGAAATTTTAAGCAAAAATAAAGATTTCAAGAATAGCATCTCTTTTTATCATATGTTTAATTTTTAACATATGCACATTCAACTTGTGCACTCAGCATACTATTCAAACCCAAACATTCTACCTAAGTTTGTTGCTGATTTTACACCTGCTAACCCTGATGCCAGCCTAGCCAATAAATTTTTATTATTTGTTTGCTTTCATCACCACATGAATGGATACAGCTTGAGAAATGACTCATGCAGCAATGTCTAAAGCATTAAAAAAATATTAGTAATATCAAACAGCATGGTAACTTTTTATGTTGACATTACACTTGAGGAGAATGACGGACTTCAGCCATCTTTGCTGCAAAGTGTGAAATGTGTTGCCAAGGAGAAATTTAACAGTATTTTCTTTCTATATGCAAAAAATTGATTTTCTAAATGATATTTGTAGACCAAAAGATTACATTTAACTCTCTGAGTGGCACCTTGGTTCTGCTTATAAAGACCTGTACTGAAATGGCATTAAGAGCTAAATTTGTATAATTTAGTCTCTGTTTTCATAAACTTTATATTCATTAAGATGGTACTTGCATCAAAGAAAGTAAGAAAGCAAAATATTTTAAGTTACAAGCTAATATATACCAAGAGACAAAAAAATCTTATGACCAGATAAAGGTGGTCATGGCACTCAGAGGATTAATGCTGTTTGAATTAAGAATAACTGATTTTTTGATCTGATAAGTCTTAATTACATGTGGGAATTTATTTATAAGCCTTAAGCTTATGCAGGAAATAGACATAAGTATAATAAATACTACATTATTATTCAGGTTAACTTCCTCAGCACATGATAGAAGCAAAGGCAAATTTAGCAGAATAAAATGTCTTTAGTCGGCATCTTGTGATATATTGGCAGTAGCGTATAGTGGACGCTAGATAAGCTTTATTATGATAACCAGAAATTTGAAGGTCTTCAGATATCACAGATAAGAACAAAAGTTTCCAATTAATGAAATTTGCAAAGAAATGAGAAGTGGTAATAAATGAAGATAATATAATAACTACGCAGTCCGTTGTTATCACAATGTCTCATAATTAATCAATTCACAGACAGCAAAATTTGTAGCATGGGTTCTAAATTAAAAAAAGTATCGCTACTGATAGTGAAGGAAATGGTAAGAAGTTGTTAAGAATTAAAATATTTCTACTGATAATTTAGTAGGAATTTTCGACATGGCAGTTACAGAACTTGAAGAATTGTGGAACTTCGTAGCTGAACAAGAAACTCTCGATCTGTAAAATTAAAAGGGAAATATTTACACAAAAAACCAAGCAAGCTTAAACCATTTACATTGAAAGAAATGTTTAAATAAGCAAAGAAAATAGTATTGAGCTTGCCTTTTTTTTGGGGGGGGGGAGTAAGTTTTGAGTTTTTTATAAGATCATAAATGTTTTCAATATTTCATAAGCAAGTATTTCATGTTTGTAGTTTTATAATTTTTACATGTTATTTTAGTAAATTTAAGGTATAAGAATACAAAGGAAAAATTATTAACAAATTACTAAATTGGTAATACCCCTTAAAATTCCCATTTTCAGTTTAAGTACAACCTTTCAAAGCATCTTTACTGATGTCATTCTTTACCTGCAGTAACCACAATGCAATAACTCTTGTCTAGTCTCTGTGTAGGATTAAAACAAAGGAGCCAAGCTTATAAATACTCCAGCCACGATATATGTACTTTCTTTATTAACCCATGTCTCTTTGCTTAGCTGTATTCTACATAATTTAAGATGAAACTTTGTATATTAAATTGTAAGGCATATTTAACACCTATAATCATGTTTGAAGCAAACATTGTGTCTCCAGAATTGCTTTATCTAATAATAAAATTATGTTGAATTTGGCCATGTGTATCTGCAAGTTCTTCATTCCATCTAAGCAATAAACCATCGCTACTACAGCTAATTTCAAACCATCTCATTACATACACACTACACATGTATATATTATATCAAAATTATTATTTTTTAAGCTAAGATTGTTAATTATATTAAATTAGCATTATATTTGTATTATCATAATGCTACATTATTAATTTTTGTAAATATCCTATATTATTAATTTAGATTATTGTATTTAATTAAATTTCCTTTAATTGTGCTTGCCTCATATTATATAATATTTAATTACATTAATTAATAATATGTCCAGCTTATACATTTTTGTGAATTTCTGTGTTGCAGTTATTAAAGAACATGGTTCATCATTTCGTAGCAAACCTTACCGTTTCAAAGTGCACAATGGCTCATATGTTTTGCTGGAAACAGAATGGTCTTGCTTCATTAATCCATGGTCACATAAATTGGAGTTTGTTGTAGGTCAACACAGAGTGCTAAAGTAAGTAATGATATATTTTTATCATCTTTTATTACATAAAATTGGAAAATGTTAAAGTATTGAATGAATTCAACTAGATGTAGAAAATCATGTTTATAGGGACCATTTGTTTCTTTCATAAACATGTACACATTCACTGCTTATTTTTTTAGCAGTAGAGTATTTTCAGCTATACATATGAATGCAATCAGAAGTAGCATTTCGGAATTTAGCAGAAGTTTGTGATAAAACCATAAAACTTCAATTTGCTTTTGTAGGAATCGAATTCTAATCATAAAGCATATAATGCAGTGAAGATATTTTTAATTTCGATATTTTTAATTTTCTCAACTTAAGGGACTGAGGGAGAGAGAGTGAACTTTATCTAGCCTGTCTTAAGTTTGATGTTCAGTTATTTACTACTTTACTTTAACCCATACAGTATGGGTGTGTCATATGTGCATCAGCAGCGAACATTACCTCACGGCTGGGTGTGTCATATTTGAATCGCCATTTAATTCACTCTACCAGCCGGGCGTACCACATTTGACTTTTTTAGATAGAACTTTATTATATTTTTTGTTGCGCTAGATTAGCTGTTGCAGTGATGGGGAAATATAACCAAAGTTAAGTATGTTACCTTCATTCCTATCAATGATTTTTACTTTGGTATTTGTTTCAGATGAGAGTGAGATTTGTGGGTGGGTGTTGAGCAATGAAATGTCTCTAACTGAGTCATTTGATATAAACAAATGCAGGTGCTGCTGCTCTCGCTGCATGTGATGTATAGTGGGATAGACGATATATAGTGCTATAGACGATGTATAGTGGGATAGACTAGACTTTCTATCATTAGAGATTTTTTTATTACTCTTATATTTTTCCTTTTTTTTTTATTACTGTTAGATTTTTCGATATCTAAACGTAGAGTACACAATCCCTAATTCGTTGTTTTGAGTAATTAATTCTCTTACTGGGCATTTTTATAACAATAATTGTTCTCCTGCTCTGAATACTTTAATTTATGTATTAATTTTTCTTATTTATTTATGGTTATGTGGAGAATTTGTTCTGCATTAAAGGCCTTTTTTTATTACTCTTTGAGTTTTGTCCGCTTGAGAAGAATATTTTGTATCCCTAGCAAAGGTTTTTTTTTAAATGGCAAACCGAAAGCCTATCTGACCGTAGAACTATACAATGCTAAATGAGTCAATTTGCTGAGTAAATAGCGTAGATACTATATTCTGTGACTACTTGAAACGTTGGACTTCCTGCGTACACCAGTTCAAGAAATTCATACCGTCTCATTTTGAAATTGCTTACTTTTCGTTGTTTGTTCGTTGAATTTTTATGAAAAACAGTTGTAATTTTTAATTTTAATTGTGTGTTGGTTAATAAAATCTCGATGTTTGGATATTTTCCATATTATTTTTTGCAATCGGGGGAAAATTATATTTTCTAGAATGAGTATTTTATAAAATGTTTAAGGAAAATATAATAATAAAGGCTTAAAATTAATTCTTACGACTACCTGAATGTTCTTCTCATAATGTACCCAAAATTGGAAAAATTGAATGACAGATTTCATTTATACGAATTTTTTTCCAAAGTTAGGCTTAGCAGCGTAAATTGCCCATCCCCACAGGACGACACATCCGGTTCCCAAGAGAATGCTTCAGTAACAGAGGTACCCATACCGAAGGGTTAAGTATGGAGAAAGTTGAGAAATTAAGAGCAAAGGGGCACTGCAAAATTCACTGTGCCCTTTGCTAGGAAGCAAGCTAGTCTTAAGTATAGAACACTGAATTAGCTGACCACAGTGTCATAAGAGCGGTCTGGAAGAATATCTTTTTTTACATCATAATTTTTACTATATTTGTGTAATTACTAATACAGAAAGGTGATCTTATGGAATCATGAATAGGCTTACACTTTAGATTCTTTTAAGGAGTCTCAGAATTTGATCCATTTTAACAAAAGTTATAATGGAAGCTGAAATTTATGCATAAGTAGTAGAACCACATTAAATGCTAACTTTAAAAGAATTTTTTTTTCATAGTTTTTTCATTGGAATTGATTTTGTAATAGTACATGAATAGTTTTTTTTTTTTTTTTTACGTGTTGTGATTTGTTATGCTTAATGGCATTTTTATTTTACAGAGGTCCTTCAGATATCAATATTTTTACACCATGTGAACAAGAGGAATCTGCTGCATCTGATGCTATTCGTAAAGAAAGTCAGTGCATTCAGAAAGAAATTAAAGCTCTTCTTTCTCAGGTATGTTTTATGACGATATTGGCATTAATTTTATATTTAGAATGTAAATATGTTATGAACATAAGTTGTATCAGATTTTTCTTCAAAACTATGCTGAAATGTTTTAAAACAAGACTGTTAAAATTTTAAGTTTTTAAGTTGTCATATTTGCTGTTTCCCAGGCATTAGGTATGTAGTGGAAAGATAGATTTTTTTAATTGCTACTGTTTAAAATTATGCTATAGTTTTAGCTATCAATTACTTCTATTAATTCAACCCCCCCCAAAAAATTATATCATATGTGCTGCAGTTAGCCAGTTGTAAGTCACTCTTTTTTTTTTTTAATATTTCTCATTGGTTCAAAAAATGACTTTTGGCTGAGAATTGGTATCATTGATACAGGTGTGAGATTAATTCTTATATATGTCATAATTTAAAGAAATTTTTGTACTTAATTGTTTGAAGTAGTCTGAGGAGATGTTCCTATTATATTTCGTTTCTTAGTGTGTACAGAATTTGGGAACTAATAAGGCAAAAAGGTTCTGCAACAAGAGAAAGAGAGACTTAGCCTCCTTTGTTTATAATTGCATTGATGAAAACTACAAAGGAAACAAACAGAAAGGTAATATTCTATGCATTCTGCATGCAACTTTTCCTACCATTTTATCCCCTTTTATTTACAGTTTTTGGTGAACCATCTAGTATTAATCACTTCTAATTTTGTAAAAATTTGAATGTCATTCTTGGGCATTTTATCAATACTTTTATGGTCATTTATTTGATATGTTTAATTTATGAATAATGTACCATTTTTTAAATTGGTCAAGCCAACCAACAGAGCATTCATATCTACATCTTCATTTACTTGTGCAATTCCTTTGCTTTGTTTTGAGAGTGAAATATCAGTTTAGTGATACATATTCTTTCTGAGCCTCGAAAGCAGGTCATTCATACTATGCTGAATCTAATTTTCTTTGAAACTGATGTGTAGCTTTTTAGTTTTCTGCAACTTTTGTGGATTCTTTTTGCATCATGAATCTCTGGAATTGACCATCTTGTTTTGTTGTTGTAGAAATGAATTTCAACTTGTTGATTTTCTTGACATTTCTCTTAGCATTTCGGATTTTAATTGGAATTTTCAGTCATTTCTCACACATTTTGAGTGGTTGAGCATGATGACAACATGTGGACTTTAGAGTACTCATATATATATATATAAATGTAGTTTATTGATAAAACAATTTATATGATTGTTTCAGATTGAAAACATAAATGGAATATTTCCTGCCTGGTTTTTAAAATTCTGATCTTTGTAAATAATAATTGAAATTCCTTCATTTTCTTTAATCCTTTGACTCCAATGGTGACTCCAATATAGTTATATTTGTAGGGACAATAGATGTTATATTATGATACACATCACAATCTGAGAATATCTAAGTTAAAGAAAAAACAGGAAGAAAATAGTTCAGTGATTACAGTGCCATCTAGTGACTAGTTTGCAACAGTTAGCCTAAGCTCTGGTTGTGTGAAATTCAAAGTAACTGTTTTATCTCTCACAACCAGCAAACTGTTGAATGTGTTGTGGAAATGTATATTTAAGAGTTACATGCTTCATATGATTTAGTTACACATTTAAGACTCTTCTGAGGGTCCGTTAAGACTCTTCTTGTGGAGGGGTGGCATGCTGCTAATGGGCCTGAACCATCCCCCATAGCTGGTTTGTTACATCATCTGTATGTTGAGGGTGATTGGTCACCAAAGGGGAGGATCTGCTGCCTTTATGGTGACTAGAACTATCATTTATGTAGTGGTCCATTTGAGCGGGCCAATGCTGATGCCAGCAACCATTCATTATTGATGAATTCACATGTTCCCATGCGAGTTTGACTATTTCAAGGTAGGCTTATGCTGAATTGCGTCCAAAATGTCATCAATGTGCCATGCTTTCCTTCATCTAGTGCTTTATTTTCAGAGACCTGCATTATATTATAATATGCCTGAAATAATAGGCTTTTTATGATTTATTGATCTATTGGTTGGATTAAGGAAGTGGTGTTTGGAGGAAGGAATAAAACCTACACATTTGGATGCAGTGCTGTGAGGGTTTTTTAACACCTTTTCCTAGAGCATTATCGAGAAACAGAACCTTTAGCTCAGGTTTTGCTGTTAATAAATAGTGTTTGACTTTAATGAATGAATTTTCAAACCAATTATTAAAGAGGATTGTTGCAATGTGGCTGATATTCTGCACCAAACCGCATATCAGAGCGGTGCCAAGATATTTTTTCACCTGGTGGTAAATGCGTGCCCCTAAACAAAAGTAACTGTATTAAATCAAAATATCATAATTCTTAAAGTATTCTTTAACTGTAGCTTTATGAATTCAGTAAAATAATATAGCCAATTATTTATAACTTTCAAATGAAAATGTTTAAAAAAATATTCTTTTTTGATAAATAAGAAATAACATCGAAATATGCATTGTATTATTTTCTAGATTTTCTTGCAATTCTTCCTATTGTTTTATTAATTTAAGTTTGTTGAAGCTTATTTCCCCTAATAATAACTGGCAAATTTAAAAACATAATTAAATTTCAAATTCAAATGTAGCCAATTTGGTGTCCCTTCTAGTGATTCACCTGAGGCAAGCGCTTCACTTGCCTCACCCTTGTCCCGGCCCTGCCGCGTATAATTGAAATCTTGCTTTATACAAATTAAGTAGAGGCAGTTGAGATAATGCTTATACACAGAATTGTATTCTGCAAGTTTGCACTTAATAAGGGCTTATTTCATATTTTGTTCATTGTTTTTGATCTTTAATGTGCCATTATAATTTTAAAATATCTTCTAAAGATTTATAAGCTAAATAACACACACTGTTATTTAAATCTGTGATGTTTATATATATATATATATTTTGTAAATTTTTTAGCTGATAAACCAGACATGCTGGATGATTGCAGCAATTCTGTAAGTTTACTTTTATTATTTGTATTTTATTAAAATAAAATTACAAATTATGATTAGTGCTCAAAAAGAAAAGTCCTAAAGCTATGGATTTTTCATATATTGAGTGCTTTTTTAGAAGGTCAAAGAGCTTATTTTATAATTATTGTATGTTACTGATCAACTTTTGCAGTAGTTCTGAAATGTGTCATGTCAAGCTAAATCTAAGATTGCTTCAGATATAAGAGAAACTCAAATTTTTGTCTTTTGGAATGCGAGAATTTTTTAAAACTTATTATGGCAATGCACACAATAGTACCCACCAGTGAGAAAGGTATCACATGGAGGATTTTTTAAAGGGTATGTGAACATATCCACATTACACATAGAAAAAAACCATAAAAATGCTTAAATAGCCAGTCTGTTCGTTGATTCGAACCTGTTACTGAACTACCTGTGTTGAGTAACTGCATTGCTTGGCGGCTGTTGTTTGGCAATGCAAAAACTTGCATATAAAATTATATCAAATAAGAGCACTTTCTGTAATTAAGGAATTCTATAAAGAAAATATTTAAATAGTTTTTAAAGTAATGGAATGTTTTCTTTTAATATAAAAGGTAAGGAATGAGATACCTTTTGTGTTTCTAACCATTAGATATATATATATATATTGATTATCAGTAGTGCAACTGAAGCAGAAAAGTATAATATTTATTTAGGACACTGTGCTATTTTAATTTCCCATTGCACAGTGTTGAGAAAAATATTCTGCAATTCACAGTATTTTCACAGTATTCAGACTTTAAATATTATTTAAATAAATACTGTGAATTCCAGTCCTGCAATTCACAGTATTTATTTAAATAATATTTAAAGACGTGATACGAAGGAATTTTGATGTTTGCTTAGCCTAATTTTAAATACTGTGAATATTCCAGTATTTCTTGAATGTCAAATTACTGTAAATTTTTCTAGTTGTATTATTGAAGTTAATTTTTTATTTATTTTTATTTTTGGCGGTTAGGACCCAGATAGCGTAGTCATGGGAGATATTTCACCCTACAGAAATGTAATTGATTCAAGTGTTTCATCAGAAACACCTCCAACAGTACAGCAGCTGAGATATCAGGAAAATATTGAAAGGTAAGCTTTATAAGTAATGTTGGTTATATAAAAGCTGTATACTTTTTTATTTTTCTATATCCAATTTATAAATCGAGTTTTTGAAAGAAAATAATTGATATATTATTAGGAAAGGCATAATAATCATTGCTAGCTCGTTTGTTATGATTCTAATAGTTTTTTTAAAATTTTGATCATTTCCCATCACTTAAAGACCAATTAATCTGTATTTCTTACAGAAAATAATTTCACATTTCTATAAACAAAGTTTATTTGTTTTTCATTGAAATTTTAAAGAGTATGTTTTTTTGGAAGGGAAGAAAAAAGTCGCATGTCTTTCTTTCATTAGTAAACCAGGCAGAATTTTCCAAAACAGTTGTTCATGTGAAACAAACGGCCTAAGAAAGCTGAGATTTCATGTGAAATTATTTTGGAAATATGCGTGTAATGACTAGTTAATCATAAAATAATAGTGCATATTTCTAATGTTAGCACTGTAATGTGCATTGAAGTTTATTTTTAATTGATGTAGAATTATCCTGAAAATTATTGTAGACTTTCTTCGCACTCTGAAATAGCTCATAAAGTTTGTAATTTTCAGATTCTTTGCTAGCCAGCCGACTACTTATTCTGATGGCTCTGAGGAGTTTAATAAGAACGAAAAATTTTCAAGTGGGGAAGATTATCAGGGTAGCAGTAGTGGTTCAGGTAATGGCTCTGGTAGGTTGTCTTCAAATATTTTGATGGACAATTATTAAACATATTACATAAAATATTCAATTTGAAGTAGAATAAAAATAAAAAGGCCTTTAATATTTGAATTTTAGTGATGTATGTTATGTATATTTAGTACAGTGAATTCTAATGAAACATGCTTGAAATTTATTAGAAAACAAACACAATGTACTCTTTAATGGCACTCATCTGTGAAGGTAAATATCAACTCTGAGAATATAAACAAATAACCATTAGGATATTTTTAACATTATTCTATAAGATAAACATTTCCTAACCCAACTAACACCATCAAATATGTATTAAGGCAATTACTAAATTATCTGATTTTGTTATTAAATTATTTAATTTAACAAATCGAAAATTTAATTTCTTATTATAAAAGAGCTGTTTGTATGGGAAAAAAAAAAAAAAATTACACCCAACTCATTAATTTTATCCATTCTCAACATGGTGTAATTATTATATGACCTTTACTAAATGGTTATGGTATAGTACTGAAATTATTCATCTCATTCGTAAATCATTTATGCTAAAATTTTCATTTCCTGTGTATGCAGCTGACAGCGTATCACAAATAAATGCTCAAGCATTGTCAAAAACAGTTCATTCCTATTTTTTGGTATTCATCCCTCTCTTCATATACCAAGTTTGTTCCCATATTGACAGTTTAGCATATGTGTATGAGTTGAAGACATTACAAAAAAATAAATACTTGAAAAACATGTCGATTAAGAGGGGGGAGGTTAGAAAAGCTTGTCAATGCCTCTCTTTCTAAGGGGCCCACCAGTGGCCGAGCGGTAAAGTTGCTGAACACGGTCCGAGTTTCTAGTCTGGTAGTTCGGTCCGAGGTTCGAATCCCGCGAACGGGCTGTCTGCATGGTCGTTTTCATTGTTTTCCCATGTGTAAAGTGATATGAGCCAGTTTCCCTTAGAAAGTCCTCCATGAAGGCATCCCTTCCCTTAGGCAGATAGCCCTAGTGTGCTTTACCATAATTAAATAAACCAAACCAACCTCTTCTTCTAAAGAGATCATGAATGGGCAAATCGAGAAGATTGCTGAAGTTCGACCTTACAGCTTTGCTACCCCCTTATATGATGCATCTACCTCTGGGTTCCCCCCTCCTAAGTGTCACCAGAAGCTTTGAATAGAATAAAGCATTATGCGTATCACTAATTCCTATCACACAGAATCACCTTCTTTAAGATTACTGCCTCTACTGAATATCAAAAGTATCTGGAGCCATAAGTGGTATTTTATAGGGGCTTTCTATATATTATCTTTCTGCAACTCGTATTAACCCTTTTATACAAAAATTTTATTTTTGTTAATCTTTCAGCTGGAAGTCTTGTAAATAAGAAATTATGCGTATGAATTAAGATGTCTGAGGATATACAGTGGATGAACAAAAATATGGAAACACCTTGTGAAATGCATGTTTAAAAAGAAAGATTGATTTTAATGAAATATGTATGGCGCTGGCATTTTTTACTACTGACCAACCTATACAACTTCGTAATGGCTAACATTGTTGTCGAGTACTGTTATGTGAGGTTGTCATGCATTATGTCAGAGTTAACAGACTTTGAACGTGGGCAATTGTTGGAGCACGTATGGTGGTGCTTCCGTAAGCAGGTAGCCGAGTGTTTAGTGTTTCAGAGGTACTGTATCGAAGATTTATTCCGCATTTGAAAAACAGAAAAACATCATCTGCTTACACAGCGCGACGAAAGTTTGTCCTGAGTGATCGTGACAGAC